AGCTGGTTTGTTGGTCTTAGGTTTTTCCCGGCTGGTTTAAGTGGGTTTTTTCCCCCTCAGCTGGACAGATTTTATATTTACCAAGACCAGTTTAGATTTTTTTTTTTTTTCAACAGAGACAAAGCTGCACAAAAATTGGGAAAAAAAAAATTGCTTTTCTGGAAATTGTCATAGCCTGGTTATCAAAACCATATATTTCTAACTTACCTACAGATCTGCAAAGAGGTTAAATTAAAAGAAAAAAAAATCAGGTTTAGACTTTTTTTTTTTTTTTTTTTTACTTTATATTTTATCAATCAATACATTGCCAGGCATAACTAAAACTCTATCATTAAGTTTGCTGATAGCTTTTTTTTTTTTTTTTTCAGTCAAGCAATATTCACCACAATTTGTTTTTTCTTTTAGATGTTTAGTTGTTCTTTGGTCAGATACAGCAAAATACGACATTGTATTTTTGTTTGTTTTCACAAAATAAAAGAAATAACCGGACAACTGAAATCATTGTCATTGGATTTTTCTTCAGTATATTTTTCTTGTCCAGCATCCAGGGCTGGACTGGGGTAAACATTTTGCCTTAAACAAATCCAGCTCATCTGGCCCACGAGTTCCCCCATGAATGTTTTGCTGGGATATATATATATAGGGCCTTAAATTGGAGTAAATAAATAAAACAGGACAGAAACAAATAATGATAGATATTACTGAATTCAAATGCTACAAACTTAATAATGCATTTTTGTCACATAGAAATGCACTTGACAGTAAATCATTGATTTTGAGCTAGAATGCAGTCATCATTTCCTCACTCTTGTGACTTACTTCTGTGGAACACAAAAGAAGATATTTTGTTGAATGTTATCAAACCATTTTGGTTACCCTGGATTTATAAGGACAAAAAATAAATCTTGAACTTCTCAAATTATCTTCTTTTATGATCCACAGAAGAAATAAATTCATACCGGTTTGGAATGACATGATGGTGAGTAAATGATGACAATTTAAATTTTGTGGTGAACTATCCCTTTAAGAACTTTAACATTTGTAATAGTTAACACCTAATTTATATAAGGCACTGATATTTATCTTTAATCAGGCTCTTATTAAATTAACATTTTACTTCGATTAAAATTAAGTAGAACTAAACATTTAAAGAGAAAGAAGTTATTAAAGGTGACATATCATGAAAATCTGACTTTTCCAGGTTTTAAGTGCTATAATCAGGTCCCCGATGCATCTACCAACCAAGGAAATGTGAAAAAGATTAACCCAGTAACTTTGTTAAGGTAAGCCTTTTTCTGCAAACGTCTAAAAAAAACAAGCGCATCTGATTTCGCTCCCTTGGTGACGTGGCAAAGGGATCTCATTATAATATTACCGCCCCTTAATCTGTAATTTTGAACCAATGGAGCCGTTATTGTGTTTTCGCAAGCGACAACGGTGTATTAGTTCTAATGCCATGGTGAAAGTTTGAGCAAAACATACGAAAAACCGCGTGTTTCTGCTTCCTCTCAAAATAGGCATTTTCAAAATTATATAATAAATGATCTGTGGAGTATTTTGAGCTGAAACTTCACAGACACATTCTGGGGACACCAGAGACTTATATTACATATTGTAAAAGGGGGCATAATATGTCTCCTTTAAAGCTAAATTATCCTTTGCCCTAATGAAATTTACTATAGTTCATGCATAGAATCCAGAGTTTAACTGACTAGTATTTGTAAGATGGAGGTCACAACAAGGAAAACCATGGTCCTCATTATCATGGTTATATGGTTTTTAAAATAAATAATAAGTAATAATAAACTATGGAATTTGTAATTAAAAAAACCTAAACATGTAGAAAACATGTTCTATAAAAGTAATATAATCCCCAATATTTAATATAAGTAATAAACTTAACATTTATAATAAAAACATTTCTGCCAAAACACCATAGGCTATTTGTACAGTGTTAATAACTGCAAGGTAAATTACTATGGTGCCGAACTGACAAGCTTGAAATGATGTATTGGCTGTATAACACAATTCTGTGTCACATCAGTGCTCCCGATGACCAGTACATGCTTGCCAGCATCAGAAGTGCCTCCTCGGCAATTTTTTAACTAAACAAAAAAACCTGATGACAAAGAGACCAGAGTCATCTCGTGATCTTTCTGAAACCCTTGCTTCTTCTGGTTCTATTTTTGTTTCTTAAAACCCCTAGTAAAAAATCTTATGTCATAATTTATTTAAAATACATTTATTTCATACTAAGTATACTCAAATCCATTTATTGACATATCACTTAAGACTTACTGATATAAAATTATAATTAAACTTTATTTGGAGTATTTCTATATTGCACAATGCACATTTCTTAATATTATGCCTAAAATATGTTTTAATATCATTATTAATAAGAACTGAATTATTTCTGTATAATATCAGTCTTTAAATGCAAGATATTTAAAG